TAGTCTTATTATTTATTGCTTACATATTTTCCCAGAACTTTCATTAAAAAAATTTTATTGAAAATTTCTTCGTTTTATAAGTCAATCTTTGACCCATTAAGTCATCATGATGATATAAGACCAAGTCTCTCAAGGGTGAGGTAAGTGAGGCCTATAAATTAAGTTATGTGTCCCTTTTCTAAAATGTTCTCATAACACACACAATTCATAAATTTAACATATCTATTTGTCCAAACTTTGTTACACTCTTTTGATTATACTATCAGTTAATTATAAATGGAGAGAAAAACATCTCAAATTCAACCTCCAACTTATGGAGATTTAATCACTGTTCTTAGCATCGATGGAGGTGGTATTCGAGGAATTATTCCAGCTACCATCTTGAGTTTTCTTGAATCGCAACTTCAGGTCAAATTTTCTTTTATATATATGTACACGTACATATTATATATGTTCCTAGCTAGCTAATACTGTAGTTATTACTAAACACTAAATCCTGAACCCTGAATCGTATTAAATTTTCAGGAATTGGATGGAAGCGATGCAAGACTTGCAGATTATTTTGATGTGATGGCTGGAACGAGCACCGGTGGCCTTGTAACGGCCATGCTAACGGCTCCAGATGAAAATAATCGTCCACTTTATGCTGCTAAGGATATTACACCGTTCTATTTAGAGCATTGTCCAAAAATATTTCCACAAAAGAGGTATGCATATATATAAATTTTTTTAGTGATGATCTAAGTCTAAACAAATATTAAAATTTTGTTGAATTTACAAACATGCAGTGGCTTATTTGCTCCAATTAGGAATATTGTGCAAACTCTAATAGGATCAAAATATGATGGAAAATACCTACATGAAGTCGTAAAGGAAAAATTGAAAGACACTCGTCTTAGTAATACTATTACTAACGTTGTTATTCCAACTTTTGATATCAAAAAGTTGCAACCAACCATTTTCTCCACTTATGAGGTACATATATATTAATTTGACGATGACTATAATTTATTACGATCTGCTTACGTTCAATCATTTTCATACTCTATGAAACTAAATATACTGAGTATGTTATTGTTGTTGTAGACGAAACGAGCAGCATGTTATGATGCAAAATTGTCGGATATTTGTATTGGTACATCAGCAGCTCCTACTTATCTTCCAGCTCATTATTTCAAAGTTGAAGATGGCAAAAACAATGTTAGAGAACATCATCTCATTGATGGTGGTGTTGTTGCTAATAATCCGGTACGTACTAAAAACATTTTATTAATATTAAGAATTTAACTTATATATACTGACGATACAATATTATATTTCAGGGTTTGATTGCAATATCGGAAGTAAGCAAAGAAATTTTCAAGAACAATCCGGATTTCTACCCAATAAAACCGATGGAATATGGTCGTTTTCTTGTAATATCATTAGGGACAGGAGCTGCAAAATATGAACAAAAATATAATTCATCCATGGCAGCCAAATGGGGGATTGTTGAGTGGTTATTGCACAAAGGTTCTAATCCATTAATAGAAGTATTCACTCAATCAAGTGCTGATATGGTTGATTATCATAATTCCGTTGTTTTTCAAGCTCTTCGTAGTGAAGATAGTTACCTTCGAATTCAAGTAAGTTAAAGCAGGACATCTAGTGTGACATCATCTTTATGAACGTATATATTACATATTTACTCAGAAGACCTTGATAATACGAGTATAGTAGATGGAATTAAGAAGGAGTTTGATGTGTAATATTTGATTAATAATTATTTTGGTTGTAATTAACAGGAGGATGAACTGAGTGGAACAGAAGCCTCAGTAGATGTGGCTACAAAAGAAAATTTGGAGAGGTTAGTGGAAATTGGAGAAAATTTATTGAAAAAACCACTTTCAAGGGTAAATTTGGAAACAGGTTTGTCAGAACCAATTCCTAAAGGAGGCACTAATGAGGAAGCTCTTAAGAGGTATATATCATCATAATTTTAATCTCGTCATAAATTATCTATCGTATTTATGATGTGACTCATAAGTTAATAAAAATATTTAATTTTGTGATAGGTTTGCAACATTATTGGTCAATGAAAGAAGACTTCGTGAATCAAGGTCGCCACTTATTGTCAAGAAAGCCTCGAAGTAATTCATAAGTCATTAAGAAAAATAGAAAAATCTTATTATTGAGTTTAAGTAATATTTGTTGTTAGTATAAATTTTCTAGCTATATTTCTGATGAAATTTTCAATTTTGAAACTAATATTAGGTATAGGCAGGGTAGTTCTTTATGAAATTCGATTTATTTAATTGTAGTATTATTACGTACTAGTGTAAAAGTGTATTGATCATCATCATTCAATATTTATAATATATGTTATTTGATATCTACGTAATTCTTAGTACAAAACTAATGTCTTATTCATAGCATTCTTTATTTTCTGCTTTAACTTTGTTTAAAACAAAGTCAAAAGTCAAAGACGGAAAATATAGTCAATAAAGATATTATCCGTCCAAGTTTGAGTGAATTACTGATCTCCTATATATATATATATAGTTAATATGTTATATATCATTATAATAAAATAATATTTTTTATAAGATGCTAAAAAATTATAAAAGAACAAACAACATAATTAAAATTTAGTAGGAATTGGATGAATTGTATAATGATTCACATTTTAGCCCATTTCAGCACAATTAATTTTTGAGTGGATTAATAATCTACATATTTGTTAACATAAGAGCAACTTACAAAAATAACTATATTTATAGGGTTAATGAATATCAATAACTATAAATATGTTATTTACGATAAATGATTACAATTTATATCACTTTTCGCTGTATTTTTGTATAGTTTTTTATTTATTTATTTATACATTAACACATCTTTAAGTACAACAAACTAAATAAAGAATTGACTCTAAATATAACCCACTATCCTTACATTACTTCCATACAATGAGCAACTTCCCATAATTAACTTTATAACTAAAAATTACGTACTTATTTAAAGACATATCAGATCATATTCTTTATCAGTCTAACAAAAGTTGTACTACATCATACTCAATTTTCTTGTTGTCTCCATATTTCTTATTCTGGCGTCGTAAAGGTATTAATAATTTTTTTTGTTAATTCAAGTTATTGTATGTAAGCAAATTGTTGAATTTGTGAATGAAGGTTAAGTATTTCGATTTTGAATAGGTGAACTACATGGCAATAGATACACTAGTTGTTAAACAAAAAATGAATACACCAATATAGAATACAATGAATACATTGTTGTTAAACACAAAAATGAATACGTTGGATATAACTATACTTGTATTTTCTAATCAATTTTTTATCTTGAATATAGCACTTATCTATCTAGATATAACTGTATTTGCAAATCAACATTTCAACTTGTGCTTATATAACAATACAAGTATCTATGTAAATAAATATAGATATATTTCAACACTGTTGTTAAGCAAAAATATGGATACATTAGACAAACGAGCAAACAAGATACAATTTGTGGGTATCAAATTGTATAAGTATGGATACATTAGACAAACGAGTAAAAAAGATACAATTTATGGGTATCAAATTGTATAAGTAATCTTCTAAATAAAATTTTGAAAAGGACAACAATATAGTATTGATGTATCCAACTATACTTGAATTCCCTAATCAACTTTTTTAAATTTGACAAGTACTTATGTATTCAAATATAATTGTATTCACAGATCAATAGTTCAACTTGTGGTTATATAATAATACAAATGTCTATGTATATAAGTATTCTAATATATATATAATTGACAATCAAATAATATATTATTTTTATCTTCTTAAATTCAATTTAATCCGCTTATTTGATACCTCTAATTAAAATGAAAATGATGATAATAAAAAGCAAAGTATTTACCTTAAAATGCTCACTTACTTTGATCCCAACATAAATATTTTCTACATTTTTTCTGGCCGCTGACATCAGCACAGGCAACTATGCTGTGTCAGCATGACATCAACGACCATTTTTTTCTACTTTTAAACAGTATAATTATGCCAAACTTCCCAATTTAACTAATTAAATAATCTTTGAAAAATTCATCTCCAATGATAGAAGTACCATAGACTAGTTCCATTGTTGTATGCAAGAATAAATAATTCTTTTTGAAAAAATTGATCATTTCTCTCAATGTAACTATAACTATTTCTTTCACGATAAGAAAAGTATTAATTAACTCTCAAATAATATTACAAGGCTGAAATTAAATCTAACAAAGTGCTCCATATAGATAGGTGAATGTGGTCCACTTCGCGGGTGGATTCAAAATTTAAAGTTTACGAGTTTTGGGTTATAATTCTTCAAAGTTATCGAGTCTTAAATTTATATTTTTTCTATTTCAATTTGCTTGTCCAGTTTTAATTATATGTACATAATTTAAGAAACTAAAGAAGATTTTGTGATTTTAAACAGAAGATATGTAAAATTTATTAAAATGACCTTTAATTTTGTGATGTTAAATATGACTTGTGAAAAGTTAAAATTAATAAAAATATGATTTTTTTTTTTAAAAATAGACTGAACAAGAAAGAAAGTGATCAAGTGATTCATACATAGTCAATAATTTTTCATTTTTGGATTTGACCATTTCTCTTAATTTAACTCATTTCTTTCACGATAAGAAATATTAATTAACTTTAAAATAATCTCACGAGGTAGAAATCAAATTGAACAAAGTGCTCCATAGTTTTAGATAGATGTGGTCCATTCCGTCAGAGTCAGATCCAAAATTTAATATTTATGATTTTTAGATTATATCCTTTTGAAGTTATCGAGTCTTCAAATATACAGCTTTTCGATAAACACAAAATTTGAATAAAAAATTATCTAAATTAATAAAAAGAATTGTGTTAAATTTTCTCTTCTTGATCTTCAGTCTTTTTACTAATACATGTTTACCATAATTTTGTTACTTAATTATTTTTATTGAAATTTTCTTCATTTGATAAGTCAATCTTGTACTCTTTAAGTCACCAAGTCTCTCAAGAGCATGGCCTATAAATATATAGTGCCTTATACATTAACAAAAATATCATAAATTAAACTAGTTCAATAAACTACTTCATAAGATAATTAAATTTCAAAAAAATCATAAAATTATTTGATTTAACAGCATTTTTTAATACCCTCTTTTGATTAAGTAATGGAAAGAAAAACATCTCAAATTCAACCTCCAACTTATGGAGATTTCATCACTGTTCTTAGCATCGATGGAGGTGGTATTCGAGGAATTATTCCAGCTACCATACTTAGTTTTCTCGAATCTCAACTTCAGGTTTAATTTTCTCTATACTTGCATACATCTCTATGCTTTCTGTTCGATTTTATGTGGTACTATCTTTAAATTTTTGCATACGTGTGACATAAAATAATATTCAAAATTTACATGAAGGAGTTTGATGGAAAAGATGCAAGACTTGCAGAATACTTTGACGTCATTGCCGGAACGAGCACCGGTGGCCTCGTGACGGCAATGCTAACGGCACCAGATGAAAATAATCGTCCGTTTTATGCGGCGAAAGATATTACTCCATTCTATTTGGAGCATTGTCCAAAGATTTTTCCACAAAATAAATGGTACGTACATATTTTAACAATATTGATCGCTCTATATATACTGTCTTTTAATTTCATTTGTAATATGTAACTAACAAAGTTTTAATTTTTATTTTTTTTGGTGAATTTTTTACAAATATGTAGTGGTTTGTTTGCTTCGATGAGGAAGATGGTGCAAGCTCTAATAGGACCAAAATATGATGGGAAATACCTACATGAAGTCATCAAGGAAAAATTGAAAGATAGTTTACTTAGTAATACTATCACTAACGTTGTTATTCCCACTTTTGATATCAAGAAGTTGCAACCAACTATTTTCTCCACTTATGAGGTATAGATTTTCCAACATTAACAACATTTTTCATATAGTTTTAATAACGAGATCATGATCAAGATGACGTATAAGTAGATCTTACTCTTACTTTATAAAGATAGAGATATTGTTTCCAATTAATAGACCCTTTGCTTAGGTGAAACATATTAAAAAGAGTTTTTTGAAAAGGAAACATAGTAATGAAGAAGCTAAGTTATATCGAAAATAATGGATAAAAGAGCCGTAGCAGCAACAACAACAATACAATAACTGAACCACAAGAAACAACATGTAATAGTTAATTCGAAGAATATATAGTAGGAGAGTAATAATAATAATAAGGAAATTAAACAAGACACCGCTCAACTACCTATTGATCACCTTTCACTCTAAATCCTCAACCTCCCTTAATCTTCCACCTAAGGTCATGCATGTCCTCGATAATCAATAAATAACCTTAATATTTACAACATATATAATCACTCATGTATACCGGCCACGACTACTATATATTTATTGGCTAGCTAGCTAACTATATAATATGATGACGATTGACGACTATTACAATTAGGTAGGGGTAAGGTCTGCTTACATATCCTACTTTTTGTTGCAGACGAAACGATCTGCACGTTATGATGCAAAATTATCCGATATTTGTATTAGTACATCAGCAGCTCCTACTTATCTTCCTGCTCATTATTTCAAAGTTGAAGATGACAAAGGAAATATTATAGAACATAATCTCATTGATGGTGGCGTTGCTGCTAATAATCCGGTACGTACGTACTAAAACACTTTATATATACTACTAAGAATTTAACTTATATGCACTGACGATACAATAAAATTAAATTCATATACTCTATTATTTTTCAGTGTTTAATTGCAATATCAGAAGTAAGCAAAGAAATATTGAAGGAAAACCCAGATTTCTTCCCAATAAAGCCAATGGATTATGGTCGTTTCCTTGTAATATCAATAGGGACAGGAGCTCCAAAACTTGAACAAGAATATAATTCATCCATGGCAGCCAAATGGGGTATCGTCGATTGGTTATTTCACAAAGGTTGCACACCATTGTTTGAAGTATTCACACAATCAAGTGCTGATATGATTGATTATCATAATTCTGTTGTTTTTCAAGCTCTTCATAGTGAAGATAGTTACCTTCGAATTCAAGTAAGTATCATCTATCGAAAATAGTCTCTCTATACTTCTCCAGACTCTACTATATAACTACATTGGATATATTATTGTATTTTGTTATTTTTTGGTTGTTGAACCTAATTAATTAACAGGAGGATGGACTAAGTGGAACAGAAGCCTCAGTGGATGTGGCTACAAAGGAAAATTTGGAGAGGTTAGTGGAAATTGGAGAAAAATTATTGAAAAAACCACTTTCAAGGGTAAATTTGGAAACAGGTTTAGAACCAATTCCTAAAGGAGGCACTAATGAAGAAGCCCTTAAGAGGTATATCATCAATACTTCCGTTTCAAATTATTTGTCGTATTTTTTTAAACATATTCGTTTAAGTAAATATTAATTAAGAGTTTTTGATTATTTTATTTTGATTTATGTTTGATAATCGATGCCCATCTTGAAACCCAACTAATTCAGATTCGCACCACATAAAGGCCTGACTAATCCAGTTTCGCACCACATAAGGCTCCGTTCAGAGAGGGTCACTTTTTAGTTTTTACTAAGGATTATTTCATACTAGGACATTAATTTAATTAAGAATAGAGCAATTCACGTAGTTTGTGGTATAGAAGGAGTATTACTTTGACTCTTTGAGAAAAGAGTAGGAAGTTTTAAAACAAAACAACGCTATTATTTGACAACAAAAAGGTTTTTGAAAAGTCCTTCCTTGTTCTTTTGTGTGACTAAATTAATATATTAAAAATTAATTAATCAAACCATACAAAATAATTTAAAATATTTTTGTATTATGAATGTATTTTAGCTAGTCATTACTATTACTATGTCATAACAATTGAGTCATTAAAATATTTGTTTATTTTTATAGGTTTGCAAAATTATTAGTCTATGAAAGAAGATTGCGTGAGTCAAGATCGCCAGTTATCAAAAATGTCTCGGAGTAATATAGTCATAAAGAAAATCCTACGTCTGGAAAGTAAATTAAATTTAAATATAATGTATATTATAAGTGAAAATTTATGTATATTGTTATAAATTGTCTGTTCTTCGTGTGAAATTTGTCGTATTTATAATATAATTTTTCATGGTGACTAATACGAATTGCCACAAAAATCTATGCTTATAAAAATAGACTATCGTGGATCGATCTAATGTATGTATTTGATATGTCAAATGTTATTTTTGGGGAATCGAATCAAATGATAAACCCTTGATTAAAAATAACTTTAGCACGTATGTATTATACTTTATAAGCAATACGCATATATCAAAATAATATATATATATATGAAAATATGAAAGCTACATTTGTTGAAAACATCTTAAACGCGTACTAGAAAATAAAATGTAGTTGATAAACTTTTTTCTCCTTTTAATAAATGAAGCTTGAAAATGTAGTTGATAAATAGTGAGTTAACTAATTAGAATATGATTTAAATAATCAAATATTTCCTTCAACCCATTCATGATTATGAAAAATAAAATGATGATGGGGAAGCACATTGTCTATGTCATTTCCTTGTCAATAGAGAGAAATTGTTGTCTTGTTTCCATGTAAAGAACAAATTAGAAGCTATCTTATCTTATCGCATTTATTATAAACAGTACACCCTCAAACCTTGCGGAAGCAGAGTTGGACACGTCAGGGAAAACAAAAATCAGCATACATCCATGCCACGTCAAAAACCTTGTTAACAAGTTCTCATTAAATGATACAAAAGCCCAAAATGTGAAGAGAGTAAATGCCACCACAACAGAAAAACAAAAATTATCCATAACAGTGACCAAAGCTACCAAACCAAATCAAGTAACAAATAGCATAGGTCAGACTCTCGCATCAAAAAAATCCTACCAGCCAAATCCCACAAATCTTGGAATAAGTAGTACTTCTCCTTCAGATACTAAAACCAACGAGGCACTATGTAATAACCCGGACCCGAAAAGATTATTTTTGATAATTTTGAATGGTCATTTAACTATAGTTAATTAATTCGCAAGTAATTTGTTTATTGTTAATAATAATGGTCCAAGTTTGAAATATTATAATAGGTTATTAAAAATTATTATTTTTAATACATAATTAATTTAGAAAAGAAAATAAAGAGGAGCAGAAAGAAAACTGACCTGCGGCGTGCGTTGAACGAAGAACGAGAGTGCAGGTATACTCAATTCTGTGGATGGAAACTTTTGCTTGTTAATTACATAAGAAATCAATATATATATATATATATATATATATATTATTAAGTTCCAATTGTTCTTTTTAAAACATACAAATTTTCTATGGTTTGTTAAGAATAAATTATTATTATTATACGTTGGTATGAAAACTGATCTTCTGCAATATTGTCTGTTTTCAAATTAAGGGTAAGTATTTAATTATGGGTTACTGTTGACGAGTTATAGTGGAGAATCATAGAGTAATTATGAACAATGATTGGAGGATATTATATTATAAAATAAAGGCACCAACAACATTCTGCTATTAGTTTCACGTTAAGTATTGTTCCGTAAGTGGTTTCGATTTCAGATTTTATGCAATTACCATATTATAATTTAAATTTCTCTATATTGAGATAGGTAATTAAGTGTTAGGGTATAATATTATATAAATACCATTAGTTTCATGATATTGGAAAAAGATTGGGACTTAACCCTAGGCTTGAAGTTCAGGAACTTGATTATAGTGTTGAGTGTTGTTAGTTTTGAAATCTTATTGGGATCATGTACTTGAATAGATTGCATTGATTTGGAAGTTCAACGGAAGGAAAAGACTCAAGTCTCGGAGTGAATTCTTGATTGATTGAGGCAAGTGGGTTTCTAAACCCTTGTTAAGTGTATGGAATTCATGTATTTCCTTGTAATATGTGTTTGGGGGTAATGATACTTGGTGATGGGTTAACTTGCCCACATTGATTAATTCTAATGATTAAAAAAGAGGTAATAAAATGCAATGTGATTAATTGTTTGTGTGTGATGTGTTGAGAATTATTTGTGACGGGCATTGGTACGAGTACCGGTGTTATAAAGGGAAAGTTTATTACTATAGAATGCGAATTGTAATTACGAGAATAGCCAAAGCATATGGGCATTAGTTGATATATTATTGACTTGATTTATTTATGTGTGATTGTGTTCTTTATTGAACCTGTATATAGGTGATAGCTAAGGTGATTACATATCATATTGATATTTGATTGAGATGCATCATCCCTTTTATTGAAATCATATTGTTGCACATGCATTGACATGAGATTGAGTATAAGTTGGGAACACGGAGATCGTTTGTGCTGGGGATGGTGAGATGTTAAGATTATAATTTGGGCACGTGGAGATCGTCCGTGTCGGTATATGGACCTCGCGAGTTCCCCATGGGTCATGAACTCTCGATGTATTTCCGAGGAGTATCATGTATATATGGTTGAGAGAGTACTTGGTATTCTGAGGCATGTCATTTCATGGTGTCATATTGCATTGCATCC